CCAGTGATCAGTGGAGGAGCTGTTGACTTACTTTTTGTAATCTTCGACGAATTTGTCCACATCTGCAACTGTCAGCGACGGACTGGTAAGTCTAGCAATAATATCATCACTGTAACGTCCTGATAGAATGCCCTCTGAACTGCATACATTGACCACCCTGAATATCGACATATATTGGTACTGAACGACGACTGATGGTTGCTTACACTGGCCTCTCATTCGTTCTGATGGCAATTTGGTATTGAAACGTGCGTTACGGAGTCTCTGATTCATGCAAATATGCAATAACTCTCTCAGCCCCTTGTTTTATGTGCTTATGCCCCAAGCTTCTAAGCAACTCTCGGAAAACAGTTTGCGTCTTACGACGGAAGTTTTGATTTTTTGGCTTTAAATTCACAGCATCCGATCCCGAAAAGAAAACAAAAATAAATGACCAGCGCGCCGACTGCTGGTACGAAGATGCGTTTTTCGCACAGTTCCCCGCAGGTTTTTGTCGTGAACGGTACTGATTTTTCGCGCAAATACTTCTAGCCAAGCGAATTAAGACTGGGCTGTCAGGAAACACCTCCTTAAAATTTCAGATTTTCTGGTTCCCGAGTTAACAACTTACTCGCAAAAAATTCACGGGCCCGTTTATAGGAACCATGTATACTCAAGGGTTTGAACTCATTAACACCTACGTGGATGCGGAGCATTTCCTCAGAATTACAGTCTCCTAGCTTTTCAGGTTCCCGAGTTAGCGACCTGTCCGTAAAAAACTTTCACGGGCCATTATTTGGGAACCACGCGGGTAAAAATGCCCATGTTGGGGATGGGGACCCGTACATTTATGTAGATTAAGATCCTCAAGTTTCAGTCCTGCAGCTTTTATAGGTCTCGAGATGGAAAATCGGTACAGACGCACACACAGACAACCCCTCGTTAGTATGCGTTTCCTACATTGCTTAGATTCAAAAATCACATAAAAAGTCAGAGTTCCCGAACTTCAGAATAAATAAACCGAATGGCAAAGTGAAACGATATACGAAGAAACATGAAGTTATTACTTATCAGAAGTGTAAGGCAACTTCTTTGTGACGAGTGTGGTATAAAGCTTAATTTTTTAGACGGTCACTTTTCTTTTGTGATAACTTCCCTAAGGGCTGGAAGAGAGTTCGTGATCACAAAGGAAGCAAGGTGCCACTACTTTTTTTTTTTTTCAAAAACTCGCTTTTCAAGAAATCTCGCTGTCCAGAGAACCACGCTACATCGTG